ATCGTTTCATGGTTTTAACGTTTTTTTTGTGGCTCTATCACTTTAATAAGAAATAATGTTAAAAAAAAAAAGAACCCCTGCTCCCCCTAACTTCAGATCCTGGAAGTTTTGTTTCCTTCAAGAAGGAAAGATGCCTCCACCTCCCTGGACGCTGTATCTGAGCCTGGGGAACGGCCTGGTGCAGATCCAGACCTCCTGGTGGCCGCGAAGGCAGGGCGCCGAGGGCCTGCTGCAGACACACCAGCTCGGCCTGGGCATACAGCAGGCGCTCAAGAAGGGGCTGGGGAGTTGGAAGCCCCTCCCGGAGCAGGCCTCCCTGAGGGTTAGCACGCCAAATCCTTCCTGTGCTGGGGACCACGCTCTGTTTAGAGAGCACTTCGTGGAAGCCAGCCCCCCATCCATGAGCGAGGGGTCCCAGAATTTGGTCCGGGCCTGAAGGGGCAACACCCTGGCGGCACACCCAGTCCTGACGGCGCCACTGCCTGGCTCTGGGACCTGGGCCCTGCACCCTGGGCCATCTCCCCACCTCCCGCCCAGAGCAGCCGCCCGCCTGCCCGAGGGATGTGCACAGCGGGGGTCAGGGAGCCCTGCCCGCCCCGAGTGTGGGAGGGGGAGGCTGCCCACCTGTCAGCAATGGCCTCTGCCACCTGAGTGCCTGGTCAGGGCCCCTCCCGCCTCCTCCCACCCACAGTTGTCACTCAGCCAAGCATCACATGATACAGACGCCGGCTGATGGCCAGCACCCGTCTGCCCTGGCGACCCAGCCAGCCTCATGCACAGGGACGCGCGTCCTCAGCTGCCCAGCCACCCCCAGGGCCTCCCAGCACGGCCCCGCGTGCTGCCCACACGCCCAGGCCCAGCTGGGGCTGCTCCCCAGAAAGGAGAGTCCCCCTCAAACAGCACAGCTGCCCCGACGCCTCCCGGGAAACTGCCGGCTCCCGGCGCCAGGCTGCGGGTTAGCGCCACGGGGAAGCCGGACGAGGAAGTGGGGGTGGGGCGGACTGTCCTTGGGTCATGGTCCTGGCCTGCCTGCCCAGCGTGTTCTGGTTCTCTGTCCCCTGACGAGCCACGGTCAGCCTGGGGCAAACCTGGCCACGCAGGGGCGTCTGGGGTCCGTGTGCGTGTCGCACGCTCTGGTTCTCATCGGCGTCTGCAGGAGCGCCCACCACGCCTGGGCGCTGGGCTAAGCAGCGCTCAGATGCCACCTCACGCAATCCCCACAACGCAGGACGCCGGGGGAACTGACCTCACCACCCTTGGGGAGTCTGGTGACAGCCCGTGGCTGCACAGTGAGCCCCCCCCCCATCTGCAGGACGCCAGGGCCCGGCAGCGGGGACACTGGGTACCCGAGCAGGGAGACAGTTCTCACCCGGAGGCGCTGCCGTGCTGGACCCAGGAGGGTCCACGCTGCACCTCAAGAATCCGGGGGTCCTTCGGTCCCCTTGGAAAGGACAGCGTAGCCGAGGCAGCCCCTGTGAGCCTGGCCGACTCGTGCCCCGCCCCAAGGAGGCCAGGTCCCCAGCCCCGCAGGAAGCTGCCCCTGACAACAAGGGCAGGTGGGCCCTGAGCCTTCATCCGCCCAGAGCGCGGCTGGTGCAGATGCAACATCACCGGGCCGCACGCTGTTCCAGGCACCACGGATTCGTGAGGAGACCACGCCTGGCCTGGCCTTCCTGCTCCAGCAGGACAGGACGCACACCTGGGGACTCGGCGCCTCCTTGGACGGCTGTCCGCCACTGCCAGAGGCGCAGCCCGGGACATCGGCTCGCGGCCACCACCCGGCTGCGGGGCCTGCCCCTCCCTGCCCCCTCCAGCCCCGCGTAGCGGTCATGGCGGCGGGGCGGGGGGGCTCACAGCACCTGCTCAGCCGCCTTCTCCAGCACCATCGACCAGCTCAGGCCGCTGCTGAGGTGTCCCGGGGCCGCCACGGGGCGGGAGACGGACTGGCCCACCCCCAGCTCGGCTTCCACCAGTGCCTTCCTCCCGGGAGGGGGCGGGGGGGCCGGACTGCTGCGCGACATAGGGCAGCCGCTGGACGCTCACGCGAGACGGCCTCTGGGCCAGGCGTGCTGCACGCTGCCTTCTCACTAGCGGGACGGGTTTGCATTGTGACCACAGGCTGGTCCCTGGGAAGACGGCCCCTCTGATGAAGTCCCAGCACCGGCAAGGATCTCAGCCTCTCAGGGGTGCACTGGTCAGCGTGCCTTGGGGCCCCGGGCAACTGCCCTACACAGAGGTGGGGGCTGGGACCCAGGCTGCAGACACGTCCCCACCCTGCAGCCCCCTTGGCTGTGTGGCCCAGAGAAGAGGACCACGAGTCAGAACACTGCCCCCCACCATGTTTCCCAGGAAGGCCCTTGTGCTTATCCCCTCCCTCCACACCTATTTCCGCAGAGCTGGCCCCCGCCCCCCGAGGAGGGTCCTGGACACCCTGATGGGGACCCAGCCAGGGCCCAAGGAGGGAGTGGCGGCCCCTCTCTGTCCCTGCTGTCTTGGCCTGGCCGTCTCTTGGCTGTGACAATGACCAGGGTCCTCCTGGGGGCAGCCACGCCGCAGCCACCGAGGCCACTTTCATGCTCCAGTGGAGGGTGGGCCTCGGGGTTTCTGGGAGGCTGACCCACCCTTCACACGGGCTGCGCTGTCCCAGACAGAGTCAGAAAAAAGAGGCAATGGGCCTCTGAGCCCATTGAGAAAATGCAGGAAGCGGGGGTCCATCCTGCAGCCTCGAAGGGAGGCTTATCCTCCACCCTACTGCCTCCAGCGGGGGGCCCGGGGGCCAGGAGCCCCACACAGCTCAGAGTCACAGCCCAAATGTGCAGACGCATCCACTCTCCCCACCACAAAAAGGTCTTGGGGTTGGGGGGGCAGCGGGGGACCTGACACGGTCCAGGGGACGGTGACAGTGGCGTGCGCCGGCCCAGCGCAGGCTGAGGGCACCGTGCGTCCCTCCATCCCGTCCCTCAACAGGGAACCCAGCCCAGAGAGGAGAAGCATCTTCCCCAGGCTGCTCAGCAGTGATGGGTCTGAGCCCGACCAGGGTCCGTAGACTCCCTGAGCTGCGGCTCCCGAATTCTCAGACCTTCGCCGCAGCAGGGGCCATCACTGCCCCTTCACAGACGGGGAAACCGAGGCTAAGAGACTGAAACCGGGGCTCCAAGAGGAGCTCCGCAAGTGTGCGGACTCTGAACTCTGCCCACAACACGGGCTCGACTCCTTCCCGGAACCCAGAGCCCCGTTTCTGTGGGGTTTGTCAGACAACTGCCCTGTGTCCCCCGTCCTCAGTCCCAGGGAAGCTCTCCTGGTCGCTGGACCTTAAAGTCATTTCTGCAGACCCTCCCCTGAGCCCTCACACCACCTCACAGACCCTGGGCCGAGAACTCAGCCACGGGCCAGAGACGAGCTGCCGTGAGGGGACCCCGGATCCTCGCCGCCGCCGTCCCCTGCCCTGTAACTGCCTCTCGTCTGCGAAGGTCAACAAGCCAAATACAAAAGGTAAAGAAATGAACGCCTGGAAGGCACGAAATGCCAGATGCCAGCCAGAGTCTGGATGACGCAGCCGTCCGAGGCTGACGATGCCTTCTTCCTCTTATGCTCTGTGTTCTAATTTTTCTATATGAGCGCCTGTCACATTTATACTGGAAGAAGTAACTATCAAACCTAATTTCATCTTAAACCCCCAGAGGAGGAGTCATAAATGCTGCTTCTATTTATTTCCAGGCCTGAGCGTACGTAGGGGAGGCGATGAGGGGCGAACAGACCGATTTTGGACCTCGGTGCTCAGGTGGTGACTCCGCTTTTCTCTTGGTTCCTTAGAATGGATTTCGTTTCCCTCTAAAACCTGGGACGTTGGGAGCGGTAGATACTCTGGCGATAAACGGCATCTACCAGTTTTGTTCTCTTACTGCTCAAAGCTCACTGAAAACCAGAACCAAACACACTAAAACTTTAGTTAGCAAAGTTGGGAAGCTTTCCTGCCCCTGGCCAGGAACACAGAAGCATCCAGAAAGATGCCGCGGTGTGTCCTCCCAGAAGCCTCCTGCCCAGGCAGCCTGGGGCTTCTAAAGCAGTCCCCAGGACCCCCTCCCGAGCCCCTGGGGTAGACCCTCAGGTCCCACCATGACCCAGGAAAGCACACACACACAGGACAGAAAGCTTTCGGGTAACTCGTCAGGAACGGTTTCTTTACAACCAGGCGTGTGGCCTCCGGGGGGGGGGGGGGGGGGGGGGCGCGTCCGGGCTTTCAACAGGGCCACTCCCTCCCAGCTGCGGCAGGAGTCCCTGCTGTCCACGGCCTCACCGGCACACGGGCCTACGCAGCCCCCGGGGAGCCGGTCCTGAGCCCCTTCTCCAGCTCTGAAGCCCCCACCCTGCACAACACCAAAGTCACCTTGAAACCCAACATGGCGCCCACCAACAGCCAACTTGGGACCTGTGCCAGGTGCCTGGCAGCCCTGCTGAGCCCCGAACTCAGTAAGGGCCACAACTCGCAACAGCCTTTGGCCCCCAGCACCTTCCCAGGCGCCCCAGCCAGTCCCTGCAGTCGGGGCTGTGTCCTGGGGCCCGTGGACAGCAAGGCCCGCTTGCTTCCTCCCCACGTCGTGGCAGCACTGGGCCCGCAGCCTGGCGACGTCACACCTTGGTCTCCCCAGCAGAGCAGCCCGCCTCCTTTATCAGTCACCCCTCCTTGCACACACACCAGCGCAGAACAGACAAAGGGGACGCTGTCCAGTCGGAGGGAAGGCCGTAGGACCCCGAACCTTCTCCGGCCAACCGCTGCCTGGCCCCGCCCCACCCCACCCCTAACTTCCTCCAACCACTGCTTTCCACCCCTCCACCTGAGAACCCCGAGGAACCCCGAGTTCTCGCCCCTCCCCCACCTCCCTGAGAACCTTCAGGGAACACCCCCACCCCCCGGTTCCACGGGGCACAGTCCAGAAACACCGGCGCCGCTCCCCAAACAGACCGGGCCCCGCCGCCCAGCAGCCCGCGCCCCATCCTACCTGGAGGCCGCGATCTCCGCCTTCTGCTTGGCGATGGTGGCGGCGCGCTCGGCGGCCTCCACCGCCCGGTCCACCTTCTCGCGGATCTTGCTGGCACGCAGCGGGATGAGGTTCTTGCGCTTGCCGCTCACCAGCACGTTCTGCTTGTACTTGCCCTCCTCCTTGGTGCCGTCGGGGAAGGTCATGCAGCCGTAGCCGTGCCGCCGGTTGCCGGCCCACTCGCCCTCGTACTTGAGCCCGTCCGAGCGCTGGCTCACGCCGAAGCCCGAGCGCTTGTCACTCTTCCACTCGCCCACGTAGGTCTCGGTGGTGGTGGCGTCGATGTCGTCCTCGATGACGGCCAGCTCGGCCTCGCCCTCGCCCAGGCTGATGGTGGAGTGGATGTCGCTGGCGGTGGAGCTGACGGTGCTCATGCCCGCCTCGCTGCGGAACGAGCTCTGCTTGCTGCGCTGGCTGGCCAGGCTGCTCTTGGACTCGGACTTGCGCAGCTTCAGGCCGCTCAGCAGCGAGCGCCGGAACAGCCCCTTCTTCTTGCTCTTGAGGCTGTCGGAGTCGCTGTGCGCCACGAGCACGAAGCCGCCTCGGGACACGGCCGGGCTGCCGGCCGCCGGGGACGCGTCGGGGTGCAGCGCGGCGCCGTTGGTGTGCTCGCTGCGCAGGGAGTTGATGGACGTCCTCAGAGGCGAGCGGATGACGGCCGCCATGCCGTAGGGGACGCTCTGCCGCACACCGTAGCCCTGGCGCATGCCGCCGGCCCACTGGCCCTGGTAGGTCCCTGCGGAGACACAGGAGAGAGGGGTGAGCCCCGCGGGGCCCTGGGGTGGGGGTGGGGGGGCGGGACACCGTGGCTTCTCTGGGGACAGCTTGGCGCAGCTTGCATCGAGGCCGACCATCGGTGACTTCGTAAGGACCCCTGTGCCCACTTCCCACGGCTGCATCTCGCTCTCTTAGAAGCTGGGGAGGGAGGGGGGGTGTCTGAGTCTCCTACAGAGTCAGCTGGGGACGCAGAGCGCCCCCTGCACACAGGCCAAGCCCCACCCCAGGGGGAGCGGCGGGAGGCCCACCAGGAGGGAAGACATTCTCAGCGAGGGACGCCCACCTGTCGTGGGGGACACGGCTCCAGGCCACAAGCCCCATACGAGTGGATGGGGGCAGCGGGAGGGCAGGAAGGGTTCGGAAGAGCAGTAAGCGGGGGCGTCTTAAGCCCTCGGGAACACGAGGTATCGCACTCAGCCGACCAGACGGCCCCACGGGAATGCGGAGCAGAAACGCCAAAGCACTTGCACGCCACGTTCCCAGCGGCGTTTTCGGACGGCCAGCGGGGCACAGCCTGAGGGCCCGTCGGTGGGCGCACGGAGACACCGAGCGGGCCTATCCGCACGGCGGAATGTTACCAGCCGTGATACCCTGACTCCCGCTACAGCACGATGAACCGCGAGGACTTTACGCTCTGGGAAACAAGCCAGTTGCAGAAGGACAAATACCTGTGACCACACTTACGTGAGGCCCAAGAGTCCAATTCAGACAGAAGAATGGCGGGTGCCGGGGGCTGAGGGGAGGGAGGGACAGGAAGCTGTTTAATGGGGTCAGCTTGTGTCTGCGGTGACGGAAAAGTTTTGGAAGTAGATAGAGGCTATGGTTACACAATACTGTGAGTCTAACGCCACTGACCCACATGCTTAAAGAGGGATCAAAATCGCAAATTTTATTAAATATATAACATCTCACCAAGAAAAAATAAAAAGGAAAAATAAATCAGCAAAACCAGGCTTGTATTACTGGGTGCGTGATGGGAACCTCTCTGACCCTCAGTCTCCTCGTCTGTAGAGGGAGGACAAAAACCCAAGGGTTCCTACAGTCACTGCCAGGCCTCACTGGGCACCACTGAGGGGCTCCCCTCCCTGGAAGGGCTTTTTGGAGAAAATGGGGATCTGTCCCCTCACTCTTCCAACTCGTGGTCACAGGAGCGATATACGGATTTTACCTGCCCCACAGTGTTTTTGTAAAAAACTGGAGCGGCCAACATTTCAAAGTCAAGAGTCTTCACGTGAAAGCTCAGCTCTTGTTTCTCCTAAAAAAATTACAGGATCCGGCAACCCTGGATCTCTGTCCTCTAGATAGGGCGCCCCCTCCGGCCTGCCCCACTCCCCACTGCTCCCTACTGTCTCCCACGCAGGCCATCTCCTTCACGTACCTGCCCTGCACCAGAGTGAGACAAACCAAGTGTGGGATCCAAAGCCTTGTAACGTGGCCCCAAAAGATGTCAGTCACTGATATGCCACTACCCACCACGGTCACCCACACCCCCAAGTCAGAACAGGTCCTGACCCTCCAAGGGCCCGTCTGAGACCTTATCCACACAGCCTGCCCTTACTCACTCCCCACCCAATCCAGCCCAGCTGGCGCCCCTCCTCAGGAATACCTAGGGCCCCCCAGCCCACGGAGCTGACCACCCAGGACGTCCAGCATCCCACAGACCGGCCCCGGAGAGCGGCTGGGTTCAAGTTCAACCACGTTTGCAGGACAGGTCTCCAAGCCCAACCAGCTTGCCAGCTCCCCAGAGGAGGGCCTGGTATTCTAGACCCGTTATTCTCCTCAGGACTCGAGCCCGGCCTCGGGTGGGGACAGATGTGGCCGGGGCGAGGGGCCAGGACAAAGGACCAGAGAGCCCTCTGCACCAGCAGACAGCAGCCTGTCCATTTAAAACGTGACCCACAACACAGGTGCTTTCTAGGAGCTGAGCGGTCACCAGGGTTCTCGTGAACCCATCCTGGGCGGGGCCGGGCTCAGCTGCACATGCACTTCAGCCCAGTCGCATGGAACTCGTCCCACGGGTGCGGAGGGCATCTGTACCCCCACCCTGGACAGTCGTCTGGTACCTGCAAAGCTGGGTGGGGGTGAACCCCGCTGGGGGGCAGTCCTGGGCCCACTGCCTCAACCCAGCGTTCTTCCTGCCTCTGGCTGTCTGTGCCCGGCCGTGGGCACCTTCTTCTCTGGAGGGTGGGATGTGGGTTTTACCCGCACGCCCCATGCCGCCCACCGCACCCTTCCCAGACTCAGTCAGCCTGTAAGCAGGGGATGGGATGGACAAAGGCGGTGGCTGGCTGTGCCAGCAGGCACACCAGTGTGGCCCACACTGGGACCCAGGGCTGGGAGAAGGACCCTGGACCAGGCTCGGTGGTCCTGGGTGGCTCCTTCCCTGCTTGAGGGTGGGGAGGCCTGGGGCCAGCGGGCCGTTGAAGGCCTCCCGCGCCCAGTCCAAGCTGCGAATGGGCTGCCATTGCAGGGACTCTCACCTCGAAGCCCAGGGTGCCACTTCTACTTGTGGGTTGGGGACAGGGGGTCAGATAAGGGACGGGATGCAGAGTCTCACATGAACAGGTGATTTGGGGGAACATACTGCAGGGGACGTACTTCTAGAAAAGCCTTTGGGGAGGATCTGAAATTCATCAGAATTTGGTGGTTTATCCGCCACCTGGCCGGCACCACAGGTTTTGCTGAAGCGAGGGCCCAAAGGTGGCAGGCTCCCTCCCAAAGCTGAGGACCGCGTGCTCGGGGAGCAGTTAGGAGCGGGCCAGCCTGGGTTCGAGTCCTGGACCTGCGACATGGGGAAAGGCTGCTTTGACCTGTGCCTCAGTTTCCTCTGTACGATGGGGAAGGTGGCTGTGCAGGTAAAAAGGAGGTAATGGATGTGAAGTGTGGGAAGGTCATTAACACTCAGCTACGATAACTACTCTCTATCTTCTAAACCTCAGGAAGTCCGGGGATGAAGCAGAGGTCATGGAGGGCCTGAGGCCCGCACAAGGCACACTCGGCCAAGAAGCGGGAAGGCAGGATTTGAGCCCAAGGCACTCCATCCCCCCACCCCCCCCTCACCCCCGGCCTGCCACACTGGCCTCCTACAAGCCACGCACCTCTGCAGGGAGCCCTCCCCAAACCTTATTTGCTCATCTCCATGACTGTGGAGCGCCGCCTACAGAGGAGCCAAGCTGGACACATACACACAGCTCGCGCCGCAGGCCAGGGTAAAAGCCGAGGGGAAGGGTCCCGATGGGCAAATCCGGAGACGGCACGGTGGCAGGTGCCGGGACAGGGGACGGGGTTTTCCTTTCTGGGGGGATGAAAATAACCTGGAACTAGACAGAAGTAGGAGTTGCTCAACGCTGTCAATGTGCCACGGGCCACTGAATTGTTCACTTTAAAATCATTAATTTCACATTATGTGGATTTCCCATCAGTTTTTTAAAGAATGGAATGATAGGCAGCAGAGAAATGAATAGAAACACAGTGGAAAAATATGGATTTCAGACTCCCAAAACTAGGCAAAAGGATTGCTGATTGAGTTCTTAGGGACACTCAGAGCAGACACACACGGGCTTTAAAACAAACTCCTGCGGCCGACGGGGCCTGGCCGAGCAGAGCCGGGAGCAGGTGTGCTGCGTGCCAGGCAGCTGAGTCCAGACCTGGGCCCGGCGGGAGGGGGCGGGCGGCTAGCCGTGCCCGCCGCTGTCTACACAGTAACACTACGTGAGGAGCCGGGCGTCGCAAATCTTCCTTGGCCAGGGTGTGCACTTTTGTTGCATCGGCATTTTTAAATATTTTTTAAGTTTTTATTTATTTTGAGGGAGACAGAGACAGTGTGAGTAGGGAGAGACGGAGAGAGAGAATTCCAGGCTGGCTCTGCACGGTCAGCACAGAGCCCAACATGGGGCTCAAACCCGTGAACCACGAGTTCATGACCTGAGCTGAAGTTGGACCCTCAACTGAGCCACCCAGGCGCCCCTGTACTTGCAATTTTGCCCCCAGTGGGAACTCGCCTCGGAGGCTACAGTCGACGTCGGTAAGAAACCGGATTTCAACATCAGGAAAACCCTGCAGACCAGCTCTGCTAGGACCCGCCGGGGAGCACAGCCTCCCGCCGTGCCTGCCAAGGGCTGGCAGAATCAAGAGAACAGACCCAGGCCAGCTCGGCGACCAGAGCGGGTGGGGAGGCTCCTATCCTCCACACACACCCCCCCCCCAGCCTCTCTGCCCAGAGTCCTCAGCCCCTCCCTCCTTGCGGGGCCGGCAGGGGAGGGATGGGGGGCGAAGTGCTCAAGTCAAGCCCCTCCCAATGTTTGAATCCAGGTGTGTTGTTCTCATACCCCAGGCAGCCGTGTGCGAGAAGGCAGGAGCCAGCCCGCCCAGCTCAGAGGGAAGACCAAGCGGCCCTGACAGGCGGCGTCCCTGCGGGGTGCTGTGAGCGCACACTTCCGCCCCAACGCCAGCCTCCTCGCATGGGAAGACCCAGGCGCAGCTGGACCGTGTGGGGCATCTCTGCTTCTCTCCAGGGAAGCTCAGCAAGGCAAGGCCAGAGGCAGGTGACCCTCCCGCGGATTCCACCACCACCACCCTCACTTGCCCATCATGACGCAGGTGATGGACAAGCCCCTCCATCCCCATCACCAGGAACTTGGAATCAGCAGATCCGAGTGGACTGCAGGTGAGGAAGCAAACCTCCCCAGACGTTGCCTGCGAAATGCCATCTAGATCCAGCGAGACTTGTATGGAAGAGCAAAGAAGGCAAGGCCGGGGGAGGGGGTGGGGGCTGTCTTATACTTGAGCAGCATCAGCACCCCCCCAAGGAGCAGGATAAAACCCCCTGGCTGTGAGTACAGCCCAGGCTTCTGCATCCCTAACAAGCTCCCAGGTGAGGCCGCCGCAGCACTGGGACCCCACGGAGGTTCCACACCTGGCTCGGCGCCCCATCCAAACCCCAAGGGCCAGAGCCCTGCC